AACTATACATGACTCAATTTGTTAATTTAAAGTAAATATTTATAAAAACAGATATACATCGTATTTTGTGTGTCACATGGTATGTTGTATGCAGTACTGGTTCAAATTAGATGTTTGTGAAGTCAAAATACTAAGTCTACAGTTTCATACGAATTAGAAACTCAAATTACACATATTAACAAGATAAAATATAAAATAAGAAGGTCTTATATTTGCTAAGATATTGCTCATGTAATAAATCAAACATAGTGGCACCCACCCACCTCTTTCCATTTTTGGAAACACTCCTTTATATACACTTACTTTTATATATGACATGAATAACCTATTTGAAGCTCAGAATGTAACCTAGTGGTTTTCTCAGCCTTTCTAACGTGGTTAGCACCATTTCTTTATTTTGAACCAAGATTTCAATGAGGAAGGTTGTGTCTTTAGTCTGCTCAAAATTTCATATTTTTTCAGTAAAATACATCTTAGTTACCAAGCTTGATAAATTATAGATGAATTCTATGGTATTGATGTAGTAATTTTATGATGTTTTAATTATTCAAATGTACATATAAAACCTAAAAAAAAATATTTTGTTTCATATCCTTGCAAAATTTTTATATAACTAGAATAAATAATTGTTTACTTTACTTCTTTATTTACTGTTCTATGTTTTAGGGAAAATATGTTTAAGAACTTATTTCAAAATAGCAATAATCTATATACATATATAATGTATAATAATTGAAATATGACTGTATTTTACAAAATACTAGTTGACTAAGACACAGCCAAGACAAGTTACTTTGAACAGACCAAACGTCAGTTTTATGTTATTTGATAAGGTAACATGAGTGCACGTGAACCACGTCATTGTAACTTCTGTATTGTTTGCCAGGCATGGTGAAAGGACAATATAATAAAAATAATAAATATATTTGTATGTATAATGTTATGAGATTTAAGCTATTTTGTCCAAACTTTTATGTTGTTGTGTTAATTATGGAATGAAAAAGGCATAATTTATGTTTATTTCCTAATTTTTTATGGTGGTTGCGAGATCGCTCGAATTTACCGAACCTGTACAGATTAATTACGGAAAATAACAAATAAAATATAAAGTTTTTTCTTAAGAAATGTTTGATAACTATCCGGACATTATAAAGATTTTGCATATGAAATTTCAAAATTTTCTGATGCATAGATAGGCAAGATGTTTAAAGAAAAAAAGGGCATGAGAGAAACATTGCATTACAGACCTTAGGGCTTAATAAAAAAAATTAGATATTTTGCATATGAAAGCATTGTAACGTTTACTGATAATCTGCCAAATTTTGTTCACGTTCACCTACTAATTTAAAAGTTATAGCATGAAAACTATAACAAGCACAAAATGATTACGAGGTCGTCACATTGACCAACCCCGTATTGAAAGAGTTAAGGTGTTTCACTCCTCCAGGCTCTCCAACACACTTTTACCTCCCCTTTTTCTGATGGAGTATGGGAGATCTTGTCACTTACCAGCTCCTAGTTGCTGGGATGGTGGATCATGGAAGATTCCTCCTGAGTGTGACCAGTTCCACTCAGTAGAATAGGATGGTGGTGTTCTGTTAGTGTAGATGGTGTGAACCCTCCTTCTACCATGAACCAGACAAAAAATTCCCAATGCCGCCTGGTTTTCGACTGGAGTAGGTCTACCATGCTTGCTTTCTCCCCATCCTACCATTGCCCATATGTATGGTTCCATGGTGTCTTGGTGTTGGATTTATACAGAGTCAGCACACATGAGCACTACCTAGGATGATGGAACAAAAGTTCTCTTTTCCTTTTGTTTCCTGGTATGGGGAGAAAATGGTTGGGATCCTCATCCTACTGAGGGACAGATGAAAAATACCCAGTGCCCACTGGTTTTGGACTGGTGTTGATCTGTAATGTACTGTCTATGTGCCCTAGTCACACTACACCATACAGTATGTTCATTTTCCTTACTGTAATTTTGGATGTGCTTCTTTTCTGCCTGACTTGGCAACACATTTTTACTATGGGCAAAGAGTATACCCTGGTACAGAAGGGGTGTGGTCTCCCACAGGTGTGCCCCTATACTTTCATGGTATAAGGTGTCATGCTTCATTGGTTCTCTTTGGGTGCTTTCCGAAGGAGGCTCAGCTAGGTAACTTTGGCACCAGTCCCTTCCCCATTTCAATGTGGGATTCTAACTAATATATGAGAAAGAGGTAAGTATCTATCAGAAATATATTTTCAGTATTGGAAAATGTATCATATCAGAAGTTAACATTTTCCAATACTGAAAATGTATTTCCGATAGTTACTTACCTCTTCTCACATTTCCCATCCATCCTTTTCGATAGATGCTTACCTCCTCTCACATATTAGCTTTCCCTGATTTTGTACTGCACTGTCTATGCATAATTTTATTTTGCTCCGCACTAGCCTTCAGGCTAACACCTAAACTCATGTGTTTCAACATGGTATTGCTGCATTGTAGCATGCAAATAAGCATGCAACAACCCTCTACCAATAGGAGTGTGACATACACTGCTAGTGCAGCTGACTCCCTCTATACTGATTGTTCAATCATCACTTTGAGATTAGGCAAGAAAAGATGTACATGAAGTGGGAATACATTTTCAGAGTTGGAAATTATTAACATATGTGCAGAGGGAGCTTAGAAACTGATTTACTGCCTGATTTTAAAAAGAGAATAAATTGTAAGAAAATTTATTTAATGATTAGTAAATGTAATAACTACTACTACTATTAGAACATCATTAAATTAATTTACCATTCATAGGATTTGGAGGCTTAAATGTTTATCTTTTGTGCAATCCAAAGTTGTTTCATTATCTTAGTTTATAAATTTCTGGTTTCAAAATACATGCATTATTCTTATAACATTATTTACTTTAGTCTTTCTGCATTCAGTGATAAAACAGAATGAGCATTTTGGAACTTTCATTGTATAGTTTTTGAAAAATATGATTGTTTGAACATATACCTGCAAAAGTTCTTTGAAGAACATATCTTTATTTCACAAATATTGATTATTTTCACATCATTTTTGAAACAATTTTTTTACTGTTTTCTTTTGACATTTGAATATGTATTTGAATGTGGTTTTGTTAGAAAATAATTTAGATGTAAATAGACTTGCCAATAATATTTTACATTTTTTTAGGGTGATAATCCACTATACAAAGAAGCTACAACAACTTTCAAAAATCCCATGTACAATGTCTCAAAACAGGGGACTGAAGAGCCTCCTAGCAGTGATTAACAATTTTATTGGTGCATTTATTTGTAAATGAGTCCACCCTTTGTCTTCCTTTATGATACTGTATTGGAAGCTCAACTCTGGTAATACATCATCTAATATCATACTCTAAAGTATAGAAAGAGTATTGAATTTGGAACTTGCTTTTAACTTAAAAAGTAGGTGGGATGATTGTCATGACTTTTATTCCATTTTTTATTCAAAAAAATTTTGTTAGAAAGATTTTATAGGTGTAATATTTGTATTTTATTGGTTATAATAATATTTTTTGTTAGCATTTGTATGTTGAAATTATTTGGTGTTTTTAATTTAATTTTTGCGTAGTTTTTGTTAAATTGAGCTTGTACTTCGCTACACCATAAATACATTTGTTTTTTAATGTGCCATTGAATAAATGACTTTGACCTTAAATGTAACATTACATGGTAACATTTTGTATGGTTAGCAATTAGTAAAAATTATAATAATGTCAGTTTTTAATGTTTAAAGTAAAAAATTTACACTATTCTATTTAAATTTGTTTAAAATGATTGTGAAATTTACGTTATAAAAACTTACTTCATTCCAGAGGAAACAAGTAGTGTTAGGTGAAATTGTGTAAGTAGTTTATAGGCTGTTATATTTTCTGAGGTGTGTAGACAAAATTAAATATTTTGATAAATCATTTGTTATTTTTATAACCCAGTAATGTTAATCACAAGACTTGGTTGTTTTAAAGTTAACATAACTTTGAATTTCTTAAGTGCATTACCTTCAGTGTTTTAAAAATGCATATTTTTGTGTATTTTCTTTTGTGTTTACAGGATTTGATTTCTCGTGCTAATACAATTTACTTACTAATTCTGTGCTTTGAAAAAGCCTAGAACTGAAGTGCATATACTGTACATTGCAAATTTAATATGACTAGAAAAATAAATGTGCTTAGGCTTACTGCATTGCAATATACAGTAAAAAACTGAAATTGTAAACTCATATGCAATAAAGATTACATGTATTAAAATATGTTATTTAGTAGCTGAATTATGGGAAGGGTTTGAACATAAACTTTTAGGTAGTGATGTTTGCTTCATACTTTATGCTGCAAGTTGTTTGGTTTTGTGGTTTGATAAACATTTCCAAAAAGTAAACTTAATTTAATGAGTAATCAGATAATTATTATTAATTTTATTTGAAACAAGTTTGGTAATCTGTTTTTCAGGAGGAGGATTAGTTTGAATTGGTAAATATGTATAGATTGAAGAATAAATATTGCATAAAACTGTAGTATAATTTATAGTTAGACAAATACATAAAAAATAAGACTGTATAAGTATTCATATTACTGTTGAAAATTGCTTTAAGATATAGAGATTGTTTAAATATTCATATTACTATTAACAATTGCCTTAAGACACAGATTGAAAACAAATGTTCACATCAGTCTCTTTCTTGATCCTCCTCTAACTTATCAAGTGTTTGACCACACTCATGATAATATGACTAATTCTGATGTCATTCTGTAATGGTAACATCTTAAATTATCGTTTTAGTTGTCTAACTTTTCAGTGTGTTTATTTTAATTGTAAGGAATATAATCAAGATTTCACAAATTTATCAACAGGTTTCTTTGTGTAAATAGATTTTAACTGGTGCCTTAAAATTTATGCCTTTAGTGTATGTTTTATAATGGGCAAGAGATTTGGTATTATAATAAAAATAATATGACTGAAATGTCATTAAGCTGTTAATATTTTCCTCAAAACTACACATCCACAACCACGTGCCTTAAAAATTTGTTTTCTGGTTTTAATAAGACATATTTTTACAATTTGTCTTCATAGTGATGAAAGGTTTGTAGTAAGAATTACTTGTTTTTACAGTTGTTAGGTATAAGATATTTAACTTTACGGCATAATAGTTTTTATTACCTGTTCATCTTCTTTCTGTATTATCCTCAAAACAGTGGTTATCTTTCATTATTTTTTTAAAGCACATTCCTTTGTTCCATTAGTGTAGGCTAGTTCATACAACTGTTCCGTATCAACCAACACTTTGTACATTTTAAGAGAACATAGTTACTAATTATTCTTCCACACATCTTCTTTATAGTAGGGGTTCCCAAACTAGTAAATACATAATAATGTTAAGGTACTCAGTATCACTATAGATTCATTGGGTGTGATGGTAGTGGGGAGAATCAGGATGTAGAATGTTCTAAGGTGCCTTGTGCTGATAAAATTTGGAAACTCCTGCTTTATAGTATCATTTACCACTATGTCTCTTTTTTTTTTTCTTCTTCTCCTAAATGAACTTGTGGAATTTTCAGCACCAGATATGCAAGAATGCTTGATTTTAGCATGTTCAGTTAGTGATTTAACTCTAATCTGTTCCAACAGGTGGACAAACTCTGACTGTTTTTCAGGTGTGAATTTTTCTCAACTTTCTAATGCCCCTTTTTTTCATACTGGTGTAATATATTTTTAGGGAGTTTTCATGACTATGGTGTAAAATTCAACAAATATTTTTTGGTACTTACTGAACTCCTCAAATATTTTTCATATCATTGTTTAATACTGTAATATACGAAACTAAAATGTTTATAGAATTGTGAAGAAACTTGTATTTTTGTTGCCATTTTGTGCTTTACTACACATGTAATTCTTCAATCTGAAATTTACTGTCCTCTGAGCATTAGACTTGATTTCTTTAGGTCTGAAAGTTGCAACATGGGAAAAGAGTGAACATTTTCGAGTTTGATACTTTTAGTCATAAACTACAAGTTTCTGATGGAAAATGTTTGGAAGTAAATTTTTCTTATGGGTTTTATGATGAATGTGAATAGCAAAAGTCCAAAAGAACTTCAGGTCTAAGGAATAAGATCAAAGATGTACAGCATTAGCATTTCCATTAAGATATTTTATAAATCCTGCTCTTTCTATTTAGCTTAATACTCACTGCACAAGATAGTCACTTGGTGAAACTTTGCCATGATAATTGATAAGAAGGCAGGATTAAAACAAATATGAGGTTACTGTTCTCTGAAGTCTATAAACAAGTTGAGTTAGTATGCTCTTTTGTTTCAAATTTTAAACACAATCCTGCCTTACATTTTGAACTAAAAGTTACGATATCTTGCCCTACCCGTTTTGCAATGTTCTCGAGGTTTCTTATTTAAAAATTTGCATTTTCATTGTCTGGAGACTGTAGTTTTTCTTTAAATATGTCATGCCTTGCTGATTATGATAAGAAATTTGCAAAAAATTGTGATATTGAAGATGGATTTTTTCTGTTAAAACAATAGTGAATCAGTGAAATAATAAATGTTCAATGATCAATCATGAATATATAGTTTTTATCTATTAGCCATTGAATTAATTTCACTAAATTATTATTTTAATTCCACTTTGTAAGTACTTTTACATTTGTAACTACATGAGGCAGGACTTGTGCTATCAAACCAATACTTGTTTCTCTGTCTGGCAACTGATAAGTCACCAACATATAGACCAGCTGATCACTGCCAAAATAAACAGTGTATACTGATAACTGCAGAGTATTTTAACAATAAAGGGTACTTACTGCAATTCAGTTTACTTTTTATTGTATATAAAAAATGAACTAAGTTTAACATAAACATCTGTTTTGAATGTAATTACATTACTCCTACATTATAGCTAGTACACGAATATCATAACTGAAAAAATCTTCATGCTGTACGTGCGTCTAAAAACAAACTTGTCATAGGTTTGGAAAGTGATAAATGTAATTGTCATGGCTAAAATGAAAATAGATAATAAACTGCCCAAAATTAACTTTAATTCTTTAGTTTGTGGCACATGCCATACCAAATAATGTATGATGTGATTTTTAGGTCTTAATTTGAATCATTTAGTATACACACACTTAACACTTCTGTATTCACTCTTCATGATACATCTTTTTCTTTGACTCTATCTGAAAAAAAGTGGAGCCAAAAACAATATTTAGGTCTTTACCCATAGAGTTGAAAGATGATCACTGTTGCAATGTTATACTGAGAGAAGGAACATGTATTAAAGCAAATATGATAAGATAATTCAAAAGTGTATGTGATTATAAATATAGGGTGCCAAAATTATTGAATATTTAATACAATAGAATGCAATCAAATTATGCAACTGTGTTATGCTTGTTTAAACCAAGATGTGCATTCTAGAGTAGATTTTTCTTTCCAGTAATAGATTGGTTATTAAAAATACTTTACCATAAATAAGAAAAACATATACTATTATCATGCCATTTTGTATGGTCAAGATTATGATAAGTAAATAAATAAAAACTTGCTGTGTGTGTGTGTGTGTGTTTATTTCTCACATAACACATTTTCATGCAGAAACATACATAACTATAATAAGCTATGTATACATGTATATTTTATATTGATCATATTGTACCATGAGTTTTTAAGTTTTTGAGCGTATGTGAATAAGATGTTTTGTTTCTTGTTTTTTTAGAACTCGTAACGTAGGTAAATTAAAGTGTAAAAAATACACCAATTTTATCCCATTTCTTTAAGTATAGGTTTTCAACTCATTTATTGGAGCCTTCATCAGACAACAGTGTACTGAACAATACAATTTTTTTTCTCTTCAGAATACTTTAAACACAGGGTCTCAGGTTCAGTTCTCACTGCCCTAAAAATTGCTGGCTGTGTTTTTATTATGGTAGAACTACTAAAGCTATTATGCCACAGTCAATGACTTTAAACTGCTGACTAGAGAAAAAGCAACCGAGTTGCAGTATGTGCTGCCAGTCTTTTTTTTTTTCTTTCTGCTTCTATATACTATTATTTGAGAAATACTGTACTAATCAATCAATTCAGTACACGGTCGTTCAAAATTATCTTTCCTATTTTAAAATTTAATAAGTAAATAAGTAGTGAAATCCAGCAAGCAGATATAAACATCTTGTAGACTCAAACAGTTTTTATTGTCTAGTTTTTTTGACTCCAGTGAATAGTGTTACCCTGTAAAATGGCAACTATGCAAGAAAAAGCTCAATGTAATGGACTGGTGGGGTGAGGCAGTTCCATGGCCTCTGCAATCAACAGACATCACTCCACTGGACTTATTTATTTGGAGGTATGTTAAGGATATTGTGTATTACAGAGCTAAAGACCAGAATAATGGATGCCATTGCCACTGTAACTGTGGGCATGAAATCGAATACAAGTTAGACGTGCAAACTTAGAAGTCTACCAACATGTCAATAAAAGCAAGTTGGGCTACAAGATGTTAAGAACTTCATGGTTTTATTTATTTAGTTATCTAATTATTAACTTTTAAAATATAAAGGATAATTTTGGACCACCTTGTATAATTGATTAATGGAACTGGAGCAAATACCACAAATTACCCAGCTCTACTAGTTATAGCTTAGTTAAAGCCAGACCCAGCTCTACTAGTTATAGCTTATTGAAAGCCAGACCCAGCTCTACTAGTTATAGCCAGACCCAGCTCTACTAGTTATAGCTTAGTTAAAGCCAGATAAATTATAGTAGTTTGAGGACATTCTGTTCTAGGGCTTCATTTATTTTTTGTTCTAAAATGCATATTTGAAAGCTGCATAAATTAGTTTTAGAAAACCAACATAGTGAGAAAATGTTGTTACTTAAGCACAGAATGCCATCGTTAAAAGGCCTCAACTTAGATGTAAGTGCTAAATGTTTTGTTTTTTATTTATTTTTAAATATTTTAAACAAAAGTAACTAAAATGTAAAAATTAGACTTCTAAGATAACAAAAAAATAATTCAAATTTTTTTGCCTTAGGAACTCTTGTTTACAAGCTCAAAATTGTGTAAGTTATCAATTTGTTTACTTTAACTGTGGGCAAAACTGGTATGTGCTCTTGCTGCGATTTATTGCTTTTCACAGTGTGATAAAGATCTTACCAAGAACAAAGTTTAACAATAAGGTATTAACAGCTGAAACTGTGAAGATGATTAAAATGAAGTTATTCAGAGAAGAAAGGTATTATTCATATTCTTTCACTGTACATTGATGATTTTACAACAGTGAGTATTAGGTAGAGAAAACAACAGATAAAATACGTAGTTTTACAGAAAACATTGCTATTCATTTAGGAGGTTCTAGAAGTTATGAAACAAAAACTATAAGATGAAAATAAGTATTTTTATCCTTAACATGAAAAATCACCTTTCACTCAGACTGACTCAGTGAAGACTGTAATTTCTCAGACAGCTTTTACAAAACAACTTTATTAAAAATGTTTTTTTTTTGTGTAGAACATACTTGTAAATGTTTGCTAAAAGCTTGCCAAATTTTATGAATACACATTTAGTAAATTCAGAATTATAGTAAACATTACTATGTATAACTTCATAGCTATTGAACCGAACATGTGAGAAAAAGATTAACAGGCAAAGATTTAAAGTTTTACATGAATTGAGAGATCAAAACCTCAGTTTTGTAGCCATATAACAATGTAAATATTTTATACACTCTGTTACTTACAGATCATTAAGATTGAACAATTACCTGAATATTATAATAATCTAGTACTACATATTTTCATTCAGAAGAAACCATCATATAACATATATGAGCCACAAGTAAGCCCACAAGTTGCAAAAAATAATTTATTTTCATATAAAGAAAGGAATGTTTCATATTTCTTAATAAAAGCTAAATAAGTAAATAATGCCAAATTAGCAACTTTTCAATCAACAAAATGTAATTACTGACATATCCCACTGGACTTTGCACTTCAAAGATTCTGAAAAAAAAAGGCAGTAAAATGTTTTTTAGATCAAGTAATCATCCAAATAGCTACACAAGGATAAAAAATTATTATATTTATGAGGTATATTAATCACTTAAAAACAGATATGACTGTGTTAGTTACTTTTTTCATGGATCTTTGATGTAAGCTAGTTCTATCCAGAAAATCATTGTTTAAATTGATATGTATCTAGTTACTTTGAATATCAAACAAAACAGTGAAATAGTATGACAAAATTGCTCAAAAGATAAAAACAGCATGTAGTACATGAGAATGCCAGTTCTACATCACTTTGTTTTTTATCTTTAACATAACTGTTAGTTGAAAAGATCACTAAAAACGATGTAAACTAGATGAAACTATCGTTACTTCAAATATCCAAAAAAGGTAAATTGTGAGAAAGTACACAACCATGAAGTTCATAAGATCTACACAAACAACTTGCTCTACAAAATGAGTAGTTGTTTCTTCAAAGACTCAAGAAAACAAACTGTAAAATAATACATGACTATGTTTGTATATATAATGTGAGCCTTAAGTAATATATGACAATATTGGTTAATTCAAAGACATAGATAAACATGTAGAAATGAATTTCAACAGAAAACTTTAAAACTATTTATACTTACAGCAGATCCTCCAGTTAAAAGTGATTTCATAGTTAAAATAAAGTCTTGAAGTTACTAAAAGAACAAAAGAGAAATATTTAAAGTCATTGTTGTAAAACGCTACAAATATACAGTTCCATTTACTGCAGTTTGTTAAAATACCATAAAAAAAGTTAAGTTTAGTGTTCCTCAGGAATGCAAGGCATTTTTTTTCCCAAGAAAATACACGTGCAAGAATTATATGATTTACTTTAATTATTTCCAAAAAATAAATCTTAAAACCAAAACCTAGATTTTATTTGTATAACTTTTATATTAACTCCATGTGCATGAGTTGGGTTAAAATGTGCAAGCTACTAACTTTTACAGAGTGCCATTCAATTCGGTATTATATATTTAATTTCAGAGCTATCAATTATCTAATCAAAAACACCTTAGGTGGGAAAAAATATAAAATGTGCAGCCAAACTGGTAGTTACACTTATAGCATTGATAGGAATTTTACAGCAAATATTCATTCATTAGATAGCCAGGCTGCATTGACAATGGATAAAACAAAATATGTGGCCTAGCTAACTAATGAAAAAATACTTGCTGTAAAATTCTTATCAATACTATAAGTGTAGCTTCCAGTTTTGATTTCATTCCTTTAAGTTGCACACTCAATCTTTTTTTCACACCTAAAGTGTTTCTGGTTAGATATCATGACTTTTTGTCAATACACACCAACAAACGACAGCAAGAAAGTGACACTTGATAGTAACCCACATTAGCTTTAGGATCGTAACCCTATTATTTGGAACAGACCTTTACTTTACAGAACCAACCAGATTCTTTAAAATATATGGTGGTAGTTTTTCCTCTCTAAAACAATGTTAATAGCTTCCTTTATAGTAAAGCCATGGAATTTAGATTAATAGTTTCTTGTTATCACCCCCCATGCAATTGGTATTGCTGTATCATGCATCATTATTTACGCTAATTGCTTAAACTAATATCACATGATGCTAAATGCTCTTTTAATTAGGATAATTTCACAAAATTCAGTGAAATTGTGCTGAAAAGTTGGCAATGAGTAATCAATAATAACCATCCACCCATATCATTCTTTTGAAAACTTGAGCTACAAACTGCTAATCTGCTTAACCTAACCAATACTTGTGCATTCACGTCCTTTCACCTTATAGTTTGCTGCTCTAAATCAGCTATCTTTAATCGGAATTACCAAAAACTAAAAACGGTCCACTTTTACTCTTTGGTGAAGCTGTAGTAAAAATGTTAGACCGATAGCTCACATGACGTTTTGCATAGGCATACACAAAAATTTTCATTAATTTTGAAAGTAGATTTTTGTTGAGTAACTTTACGTGTGTGGCTTATACTTACACTAAATGAGACTCCTAATTGTAGATTGAATAGATCTATCAGTTTTAAAAGAATCCATAAAAGTTGGTGCAAAGAGGAAGAAACTCAATCAAAATTAGAGTTGTTATATCTCGGGTATTTCTTAATGGATTGCCTTGAAATTTAGTATGTGAAGTAAGAGTCCAGTACAGCACATTAATGTAAATATGTGATAGTTTGGAGTATGACAGTCCAAGATACAGAAAGTGGAAAATTTCTAACCTGTCAGTCCTGTTAATAACGCACAGTATGTCCTGCAGCAGGATGTTTTGGCTGCACAACACAGTACTATGTCTTGCTTCATTTTATCATACATTGCTGATTTAATGACAGGTTATGTTAGAGGAGAGCAAACATCAGATACAATATGCAAGGATACTGAAAAGATTGTAGATGTACATTTTAGAGGCTTGAGACGTTATGCAAATATGAGCAAACTATATAATGGACAAAAGTACCTTCATTCTTTACATGAACATCACCTTGCACTCTGACATGTCACAATCTGAGTCAGATATATTTTGCAAATAAATACCTTTGCACCTAATTCAATATTTGTTTTGTGTGTGTACAACAGATTTGAAAAATTTTACTAAAATCTTGTCAGACTTAATGTAGATATCACTTAATAAATTTGTAATTATAGTCAATATTCTTCTCCATTAGGTTCTGTCCAGCAAACTGAGCTTGTGCACATTCAGTTAAGTTAATTTTCTAATTGCATCACCAAATATTATGTACTTCAAATTTTAAGTAAGCACAACTTACAATTCACGTAATTTAACAAATTTGATTTTTACTAACTGTAGCAGAATTCTGTAAAACCACTAAAACAATTTGTTTTTGCTTACATAAAAATAAATATCAAACCTATGTAATATTTACAATAATCTCTGCTTTATATTTAATAATTACATATATTGAGTGTAGAAGTATTATAATTATATTTAAAATAGTAAAAAATGATTGTACAAATAAAAAATAAAAACATTATTACAATTCACACTATTACCCTTGTTAACCACATGTTAGAAATAAGATATAAGCAAGAGCTGCTTTTGATGCCCACAATTTCTCATGGTTTTTTATAATCTTAAGAACAGCCCACATGAAAACATGTATTCAACTGACAGTCTCTCCAACTACCAATAAGCTAGCAGATGTAAGGTTAGAATCCCTTTACTCCATGCTGTTACAGATTAAATCATTTGAAAAATGTGACCAGACTTGAAAATGACTATAAATATCTAAAACTATCACTTGGTTAGATCTATCACATGCATTAAGAGAAGAACATCACAAACCAAGCCAATTCCATTTCTGTACATTCACTGGATTATTTTTTCCTTACCTGCATGTGTAAAGAAATACATGCCAATTTTGGATGTTAATATGATTGTATAAATACACAAAGAATACTTCAGTTTCACAAGTTAATTTGCTGACTGTGTTGTTATTACTTACAAGATGACTGAAGAGAAATTTAGATGGACATAATGGACTGTTGTCATGCAACATCATCTAAACATTTTTCATTCTACATTGGGAATGAGAAACCAGCACAATATTTAAACAAAACTGATGCCAATAATGACCAAAAAAATTAACTGCATCAAAATGCTAATTCTGTGATCTGGAATAATTTAAGAAATGTTTGAAATCATTATATCTACAGATATTGTTTATAGAACTTGAGAAAGTTTATTAGAAACTCGTGAACCGAAACTTTATAAGGAAAAATATTTTCTCAGCAGATTATTATAATTTACTCCAAAGAACTGCCATAGGCACCAATTCATCCCATTTCCTTTCTATATAGAATTTCTTTAATGCATCGAAAGTAAACAAGTTATAATCCAAGGCTACTCACTACAATGCATTTCTGGATGAACTATAACTAGTTGACTATAAAATGATACTGTAGAAAAGAACGTACTTAAAATGAAATATGTAGATTAAGTTTTGACAACTTATAAAATACTTTTTTATCCAGTGATTAATTAAAATAGACTTTCATATTTTATTTGTCAAAATATGCTCAGGTTTTGGAAATTGTGAAATAACTTATGTTATTTTACTTTTATTCCTATAAACTTAAAAAAAAAAAGGTTTTATGTCAAGATTTACATGATAAATATAACTTGAACAGATTTCTTACACATTATCTAGAAAATGGAGAAATTTGACATCTGTTAAGTATTAAGAGGCAGGACAGATTAGAGTATCAAAAGGTAATTATGTATAAGTATAGCGTTGTCCTCTTATTTGTTTCTACTGTAAAAAGTAGACACAAGTTTTAAAAAAAATTCTGGAGTATTTATCAAGTACATAATCACATAAATGAAGAAAACAAAGCACATTATCAAGCTCTATTGATATTGATTAGTTGTTGTTAAGTGCAAAGTTACACAGCAGGATATTTGTGCTCTGTCCACTACAGGTAACAAAACTAGACTTTTAGGGTTATAAGTCTGTAGACTTACAGCTGAGCCACTGGGGGCTTCTGTTGATATACAAAATAAAATCATTATGTGACAATTCTATGGCCATACAGCATAGGTATTTAAATTTAGAGTACAATATTACTATTGATAAGTATACGTAGTTTATGCATTTTTCTTCATGCAAAATGTTCAGGACTTTCAAATTAAAATGCAATGTATCCTGCAACAGACTAATGGAAAAAATCAAGACCTAAAGGCAAAACATTTGATACCTACCTATTCAATATCAAGTTTCCTCTGAAACAGAGAAAATACATTTACACTTCATGTAAATATAAGAGATCCATAAATATGAATAAGCAGCATGTGAGAATAATTGATCTGGATATAGAAAATGATCAGGAATATATGTATGAAAGGGAATTTTTCATAAACGTTTTTCAGGAAATAAATGAAGAGAATGCTCTACAAAATTGTATGTACATGCACTGTACAAGAATTAACAACTCTTAAACAGTAACCATAAACTTTGTTAAAAACAAGTGACTTTTAAAGAAATCAAAGATAATTTCTGTGTTTTCCTTCATCATTTAGAGCAAACAATTTATTTTTAACATTACAGACCATTTATTGTATGTCATTTTTAAGGCCTATGATCATGTTTTTCAATGGTCTGATTGTTGAAATTTACAAAAAATTACTTGAGGTTATATGCTGGCCATCCCTAATTTTGAAGGGATAGATTAGAGGTAAGACGCTAGTCAACAACACGCTACAGCAACTATTGAGCTACTCTTGTCAAATAGTGGGACTCGACTGTTAGTTATAGTTAGCACAAAGGATCGCATATAAAGTGTAATAAACTTAAAATAAGACCCAAAACTCAAGCACTTTCGAATAGTTGACTATTCTTTTTCGGGAGAACAAAGTTACTCTTACAATACATTCAAGGCTTAAAACTACAGAGCACAGTTCTTGTTTTTTCTGTTGATAATTCGGCACAATTCACAAAACTTCAAATTCACAGTCTGCACACAAAGCACTGGTCAGCTTTGTTTTTCAAGGGAATATACATAAACTTACTTTTAAAACATAACTAATTCTAAATTTATACTCAATGTTCACATTAAATTTACACTTTATTTTAGTTTCACCTATTTTTAATTTAATTTTTTACAAAAAATATTCAAAGTACTAATTTTAAATTCAATTGTTTGAACTTACATCAATGAACGAGATCAAAATTAAAAATACACTTGTTCTGATTAATGTCTTTCAAAGGTGAATGTGTTTTGCCTGTAAACTATCTGTGATAAATTCATTTAATATTATGTTCTAAGCAATTCTTTCTTGGTACCTTTAAATTTCATTGATAGTTACAATTTTTTTTATTTGAAAAATTCAATATGCAAATATTAATTCGAAAAATTGTTTATTGAAAATGTTGTGGTGGTTTGCAAGATTAAGGGCTTTCATTTCCAAACTTAGTTGTAACAAAGAAATGCAAATCCAACCATTACTGAACATGGTCCTTCAATAAATAATCTTTTGAAAAATTTCATTACATTATATTAGTCATGTCTACAACTAACCTACTTATTAGTTTAATTCTTATGGAAACATTCCAGTGGTAAATGCAAGTCCTGAAATCAATGACAGTAGCTGAGGCAAAAACTAAAAATATTTCATTGTATTTTGCATTCATGGTTTAGAAAATCTTAGTTATAAGTATATGAAATACATACAGACAACTAAAAGCAAATTTTAAGGTTAAAAAAAAATGATGAAACAAGTACAAAAAACATTGTACATCTCTTTTTCTATAACAGATGGGAAATATGTTTTACAAGTTCTTTAGTTTTTTTTATCAATCAGTACATGAAACCAATACATATTTATCATGTGAAAATTTTTCACAGAACAAGTAAATTTTTTCTAATAGCTGTGTCTCAAGTTATGATTGAAATTATAGTTTCATGTAACTTTGTTAAATACATTTTTCTGGGAGAATTAGAGTGACAAAAAAACCTTCAGAAAAATATTTTCAGAAATAAAGCCAATATTTATGACTATACAAACAAATGTTGAGATACTTACTTACCTCTCTGCAACACTAAGAGATATTACTTCATTCACAACTGTCATAGCATTTCCTGCACAAACCTTCAACAAACTTCCACCCCTACATATGTCATGTATCGGGCCAGCCTACAATGTAATTGCCATAATGCTGTACCCATCCACCAATAAGAGGGCAACGTGACTTCCATGTTCAGTAATACCCATGAGCACTAGTACATGATCATAAGCTTGTTCTTGAAAAGGCAAAGAAATTACACAGGAAATGAAAAGAGATTTACAGTAAAGAATATTGTGTAAACCCAGTGTCAGTGGTAACATGTCACAAAGGTGGTCACAATGTTTAGTGTGGATAGGGCATTAGACCATTACATCTTGGTGAAATACTTATATGAAATAGATATTGTAATGACAGGTGGAGGGAGGAGTTCACAAATGTGTCCTGAGGCAAATGCAAGTTTCATCTGGCTGGACGTATCCAAGAACTGCTTGGGGGATATTGTAATGTAGTGTCCCGTACTACATTTCCAAGAAACACCCCAGTCTGGAAATGTGTTTCACCAAGAGACAATGCAATGGTTAACTATGACTAAGGACAGAAAGTGTGAACCAGGTGTAAGGCCAGAACTACAACTAATGTATTTTGTTTTTTGATAAAAGGTGCAGAAATAGTTACCTGAATTATAGGAGTATACCACCAAAACAGATCTGAAAAAAAAACATCTCAACAAAGTGCACTGAGGAATGGTGGATGGATTTAACATTTTCATTTTTTCCCTGCTCTATGTGAATTTCAGATAAGCACTCCTTGCACTGGACAAAGCATATAGGCCCAAGATAAAATGCCAGGTAAAGAAAAAAGTAAGATGTGCAGGAGTAGGTCAACCGATTGAATAGTTTTAGAGGAACCAGCAGCAGTAGACAGACTATGTACATTCATAGAGGGCAAGAGCAAAAGGTTGAGAAGAATAGAAAAAATAAAACAGGCTACTCCATGGGAAAATCCCATACATTATGAAAGGGACTGGTCACATTTCACACATGAAGAATCAACACTTTGTTATGAAAAATGGATGACCATGGTTGACTGAGGACAAACCTCCAAAGTGGGAGTTGCAAAGGCATTGATTTGAAGGGTTCTGAAATAGAAACAAATCTAATGGAAAACTGAAGGATGTAAAGAACATTCCATGAGATATATACTTTCAAGGCAAGAGAAGCAATCCACCACCAGGGAGATGTTATAAGGTGAATAGAACAATTGTTGGCCCAAAAAAGAAGTCCAGAGGAAGAAAGCACAGATTTTGATAGCGAGTACCTCTGTGGCATTTGACTTATGTAACAAACATGGAGTTGTTCAAGTGGATCATCACAAGATTACCAGACAACTGTGACCAAAGATGAGGGCAAGTCAGGTTGGGAGGGGCAGTTGTATACCCTGGGATGGGTTGGAATGATTGAGCCATCACTATAAGGGTGGAAGAGAGAATGCAGGCCATTTTTCAATAATTTCCAAAGCCCACTAAAGGGGGCATGTGCACAATCAAAAGTAACCAGAGCATCTAGGGAAATAAGTCCTCAAATATGGGAGAGAAATTGAGTGGGTGTCAAATCCAACTTGGAAAGTTAAACCAGTCAGTCCAGACATAAGGCCTCCCAAAGAGGAGTTAACATAGATATTGTCAATTCCTGATAATTTGGGGCCGAACAATGCCTGAAAAACCATAGAATAATGGCAACAAAGGTTCAGAAGATGTATGAGCCAAGCAAAGGATTGCACAATCCATCTGAAAACATAAAGGGCCATGGCTAGGCTGAAGGGAAGGACATGGAACTGAAAGACAACCACTGATGATGAAATGGAGAAAAGACAGGACACAAGACAAATGTAAAGGAAAGCATTTGAAATGTCTGATTTGATTAAATACAGCCTGGGAGAGAGGACCCAATACAGACTGAGAAAGTCTGTCCAGAATTGAGGAACGAAGAAAAAGTGATTCAGAGATGGCAAGTC